TACTACACTTGTGGTACTTGCTTTCAAGTCAAGAAGATTGAAGATTTGAGTTGTTATTACAATATAACAACAAGAGGAATTTAAACCTTTCTCCTTTGTGGATTTCAAAATTACTAGGAGCATGTTAGGGTTCTTCATGTGTTCATAATGTTGTGTATCTAATAGTAAAACATAGATCCAATTCTAGGGTTGCATGCACACATAGGATTGTTTGTAAAAAACCCATCAGTGGTATTAGAGCCATTGGTTTCATTGTTTTCAATTAGTTTATACAAAAGTATGAATTGGAAAATTAGGGTTTATGGCCAATAAACCCTAGGAGGAAAGATTTCGAAATTAAGGTTCTTGAGCCCTAAATTTTGAAATTTGATAAGGGTTTTTGAAACCCTTTGCTTAGTCCCTAAGATTTCAAAATCTAGGGTTCGCAAACCCTAGGGTTTCGATTTTAGCCTTCTCCCTAGGATAAGATCCTAAATTTTAGGGATTAGGATAATCCCTTATCTTGTAATTATCTTTTAATTGGTTATAATATGGTAATTAAAGATTTTTAAATTATCCCATCCCATATTTTCGATTTTCGGGGATTTAAGGGATTAGGAAAAATTAATTGTTTAATTTAAAAGATAATTCTATAAGATTTGATAGTTAAAATAAATTGTTTATTTCAAGTAGAATTATTAAATCAAGAGAGTTTTAATATTTAAAAGGTTTAAATTAAAAGGTTTAAAATTCAAAAATTTTATATTGAAATTAAAACCCTAGTGTTTTAAAATATTTAAAATACACCCTATACTATTATAATATTACAAGATTGATATATATATATATATATATATATATATATATATATATATATATATATATATATGACTTAAAATGATAGTCTTACCACTAGTAGGCCTCATTCACGAAGCCAATCTATAAGGGGGGGTATAAGGTTATGGCCTATAATATGGTCGTTTAATGGATGTCCACTCTCACCCACCGCTTCCTTGATTCGTGGAGGGTTGTTAGCCGAATAGGTAGTATAATGAACTATAAAAGTAAATAAATATTTTTACAAACAATTCTCAATCTTAGTTATTTTAGGAAAAGTGAATCGAAGCACTTCCATGAAATTACACTTTTCACCCTTGCTAAGACGTTAGTGGATTGACGTGTGGTTAACAGTCACACTAATTGGATTCTAAGCATAGGTGGCAAAGGGTGACTCATTGTTTGTCATAGTTCGATGGAGCGTGTGTGGCTAACCGACACATCGAATAGATGACTGTAACAATGAGGGCACCATGTACATTTGCGTGGTTATTCACACCTACTTTGTGATCCTCGGCATCGCAGTCACAAACTAGAGCGGCACATCGAGATTTAAACATGCCATTTAAATGTTCAATAAATCTCAAAAGATCTAGGAGTTTTCAATACATTTAAAACATAGCTTTAAATTTGTTTTTCATGGTGGAGAATTAGTGAATTGTCATTCACTTACCTTCAAATTATTTACTTGTTAGATTACGACATCCCTCTTCTAATTTGTAAATAATGTTGTTGGATCCTAACCCTAATTTATCATTTGGGTGTTTAATTGGGGATTCATTTCTAATCAAACTTTGTTCTTTTCCTTTTCAGATGTCGACCATCAACAACAACAACAACGCTTCTGGTTCAAATTCCCCTGGCACATTCTCACTCATGAACTTGTGTGGGATAGTGATCTTCGATGGCACCAATTTCAACAATTCAATCTGCAACATTCGCATGATCACTCGCTACGAGGACAAACAGTACATCCTTAATGAGAAGCTAAAAGAGATTGACATCAACACTGCCACTGCTGAAGAGATCGCGACCTTTGAGGCCCACGAGCATGATGCCATGAAAGTCCATTGCACCATGCTAGCGAGTATGAGCTCAGAACTACATAAGATCTATGAGGACATGTACCCCTATCAAATGCATCAAGACCTGCTGGACAGGTACCACCAAAGTGCAAGGCAGGAAAGGTACGACATCGTCACTTTGATGATCACTACCAAAATGAGTGTTGAAGAGTCCTTCATTGCCCATCTGCAAATGATGTAGAGATATGTCGATCGCCTGCTAAAGATAAATGTTAACTTTGATGAAGAGCTGGAAATTGACATCATCCTTCACTCCTTGCCTCCCTGCTATAGCCAGTTCCGCATGACCTACCACATAAACAAGGAGGAGGTCTCTTTGAACAAGCTTCAGGGCTTGTTGAGGACTGCTGAGAGTAACCTCAAGGACAAATTTGTTGCACCAAATCTAACTCACACTACTGCCCCTGTCTTAGCAATAGGACAAGGGAAGGGTAAGAAGAGGAAGGCTCCCTCAAAGAGCCACCACAAGGGAAAGTCACAAGATGGTACCTCTTATAGTGGAACCAAAGTTGATTCTACTAAACCCAACTCTAACCTTAAGGAGGCAGAGTGCCATACTGCCACAAGATAGGGCATTGGAAGAGAAGTTGCCCAAAATATATGTAGGCCATCAAGGATGGGAAGATCAAGCCATATTTCGAAGGTATTTACACAATTAAATCTAATAGTCTATCACAGGCTACTTCTTGGGTTCTTGATACAGGATGTGGTTTTCACATATGTTCTGATTTGAAGGGACTAAAAAGAAACAGGAATGTGGAGCATGGAAGGATGAATATGATCATGGGAAACAGAAGATCGTCGCCTGTGACAAAGATTGGAGTTTATTCCTCAGTGCTTAGCAATGGATTAGGTTTAGATTTGAAAAATTGTTGCTATTCGCCAGGTATGGCAAGATACATCATTTCATTTCATGGTTTATATAGGCAAGGTTTTAGATATTCATTTGACAATGAAAAGGGTTCCATTTATGCTTATTTTAATAATGTTTTATATTTTGAAGCATTGCCTTTTAATAGAATATATGAAATTGTGATGGTTATAGATAACTTAGGAAATGATGTATTGTGTGTAGATTCTTCCAATAGGATGGATAAAGAATGCTTGTGGCAGTGTCGTCTTGGACATGTCAACAAGAAACGCATAGCCCAACTTCAAAAGGATGGAGTATTGGAGTCATTCAACATTAGGGACGATGACGTATGCGAGCCTTGTTTACTTGGAAAGATGACCAAGTCACCCTTCACTGGCACTTGTGCGAGGGGTGAGGGTTTATTGGATCTCATACACAAAAATGTAAGTGAACCCTTTAGATCTACCACAAGGGATGCAAGTCGCTTCTATGTGACTTTTACCGACGATTATATCAAGGTTTGTGTGTTAGGATGTGTTAGCTCGAGATCTTTGAGTTGCAATTGAGCCGGGAACTCCATCAAAAGGGGTTCACAACCACATCTAAACTCCTAGCCGTGAACAAGTCCTCTATATAAACAAACTTGACTCATTTTCTACACTTTTTTCAAATCCTTCAACCCTAGCCGTAAACTTTCCTCATTCGCTCTCAACTTCTCAACCGTGAACCCTTCATTACGCCGTGAACCCTTCATAGGATCTTGACATTGTCGTGAACCCTTCTTAGGTGCGAGGTTTGGCCATGATCACTTCATCCATGGTCATGAACACCTCATAGAATCAAAATTGGGCCATGAGCACATTATGTGTTCATTGGTCGTGAACCCTCCTAAGGCCGTGAACATCCCTTTGTTTGGCCATGAACTCCTTTAGTGCAATCATATGTGATTATAACACTTCATCCTAAATGCTTCCTAGTACCTAACGTTGTTCCCTATAGAGATTGGTTGTTATATACACTAATTATATCCATATATGTGTCATTATATGCTTAATAGGATCTGTTTATGCTCGGCACTTCACCTGCCACTTAGCTTCCTATATCGATCTTACATTCAAATCACTCACTACAGGTGATTTCATACCCCTAACTTATCTTTTAAATGGTTTTAAATGGTTTTAAATGCTTTTATGGGGGGGGGGGGAATACAAGTAGAAAACATTATAAATATTGTATCAATCACATGTGATTAATAACTATCAAACAAGTGGATATCTTATTCTTCAAAACTATGTTATCAAACAAACTATTTCAAAACCTTTTATAAACTGACATCAAGTCATCTATAATCATTCAAATGGGTAAAACTCTTTTATATGTTGAATTCTTTATCTAACTCTTTTAAACTTATATATTGACAAAATCATGTCTATATAGATATAGTTATATAAATAGGGTTGAAAGGGCTTAGGACTGGTAACTCGCTTTATTTCCTATTCCTTGTTTGGTTGTGGACTTAGGGTATCGGTTGTTTGGCCGAGTGTCGTTTGAATCTTAGTTATATATTATGTATATGTGTATAGATATAAAAGATCTTTATACAATTAAATACCTTTAGATAGCAAAGGTGTACAAACATGATCAGTCATTCAAACGACATTACTAGTAAACTATAATAGGTATAGTTTAGAGGATTAATACTCACTATTTCTAGAACAATGAAACATACAAGAGTCAGTTCATACATAAGTGTGTTCAAACATACTATAAGGATAAACAGAAAGAACATACTATAATAAGAAACAGAAAGAACATACCAAAAACTAGAATAGAGAGAACATACTAAACACTAGAACAGATAGAACATACTATACACTAGAACAGATACAACATACTATACAAATACAAGAATGACAAAACTGCGAATTTGGTCCTTGTGGTTTGTCAAAACCTTTGGATGGGGTCCAAAAAGTTTCTAGATTGCACCAAACGTCCAAAATCAAGGTTTTCATGGGTTTTTAGTCCATTCCGTCATTGTCCGTTTGTTTGGAGTCGTTAGTGCCATCACGTGCCCTCCGTGTGAGGGCATTTTGGTCATTTTAGGTCCTAGCCTCCGTTGCCGCCACTTTAATTAATAAGATTGCAGACTGTACTTACTCCTTCGTCTTCTACTCATACCACTTTGGATTCAAACGCAAAAACCCTAACGATCGTCTGCAAATTGGCTTGTGTTCATGCTTTTGAAAATGTGGGGACTTAGAAATGTTGGAGAGATTTTCAACGTTCAAGAAGTTTATGGTAAGATTCAAACTTTGAAAAAGCTATGTATTTTATGATCAAGCTTCAAACTTTGAAAAACTCTAACAATCGTCTATTTCTGTTTTGAAGATGGTTACTCCAACATATTCTCTATTGAACTTCATCACGGAGGGAGTTTCACAAAGTTTCCAAATATCAGGTATATAAATGGCCAAGTAAGGTACTTTGATGTTGTCGACATTGATGAATTTTCTGTTCATGAACTAGACTTGATGATGAGAGAATTAGGGTATGATGGTACTGAAATCATGTATTACCATTTCCGTTTGCCTAATGAAGGATTTAACTTTGGACTCCGAGCATTAGGTAACGATGATGATGTGCGTAATCTCTCACGGTATGTTACCCATAATAACAAAATGATTAAAGTGTACACAGAGCATGGTCAAACAAACTTGCTTACATATTTTATGTCCCCAACTGGTCCAAGAAGGGTTATAATAGAAGACTTGGATAATCAGGGTCCTCTTAGACCATCATCACCTGTAGTTGCTCATGAAGTGGTAACTCCAATCCAAATTGATGTTGGTGAGGGTGATTTAGGGTTGGCATTAACCTTATACAAATCAACAACACCTGAATTTAGTAGGTCTAAAGGTTGGAAACATAGTAAAGGGGTATCGTCTACTAGTACAAATCTTAACTTGGATTGGGAAGGTGGTGAAAAACAATGGCAAGTGGTGAAGTTGATAAAGGTAAGGGTGTAGAAGGATTTGCAGATGAATTTGTTGTAGTTGATGTAGAAAAAGAGTTAAACAAACAGATTGATATGAATGAAGAACTTGACATGAACAAATCCAATGGTGAGGGTGTAGAAGGATTTGCAGATGAGGGGTATATAGTTGTCATGGATAATGATCCTCAAGGAGTCAATGAATTTTCAACTAACATCAACATAGATGATGAGTTAATGACAAACTTTCAACCTTTTGAAGGGTTTGAAGACCAAGATAGCATCCCATTTAATGGGTTTGAAGGCCAAGATAATATCCCTTTCAATGATGAGTGGAGACAAGAGGAGCCTGATGACATTGAGTTTGAGAATCAAAACAGTGAAGATGAAGATAGTGACTTTATGATTGATGAGGACCACATAATTGAAGATGTTGAGGTTGACATGGAGGATTTCAATCTAAATATTGATACAGAAGTAGAGTTCAATGGATGTCAAAGTTTGGGTGGTGTTCAAATAAATGAAGATAGTGATGAACAAGAGGATTTGGAGGTAATTGATAATGACGAGTGGGATTCACTAAGTGATGACTCAGGGGACAATAGGAAAAGAAGAGAAATGATCAAAGAGCTGGGGAAACAAACCTTATGTTCTGTTGGTGAGGTGCATAAGGTAGCTTTTCATATTGGGCAGAAATATAAAACCAAGAAAGATTTGAAAGATAAAATTGACCTGCATGCTTTAGAGACACGGAGGAATATCTCATTCACAAAAAACAACAAGAGTAGATTAACAGCTATTTGTGATGGAAATGTAGTTTCAAATGCAAGTGGGGTAGGTGGACCTACCTCTGGGAAAAAGGTAAAGGGTAAAGATGTAAACTCAGATAAAGTTAAATGCACATGGTAACTTCATGCGTCTAGGTCAAGTGAACATGACTATTGGTTTATTAAGACCTATAATCAGAAACAGATCTGCCTCCAAACACAAAAAATCAGATCTTGCACAGCAACATTTCTTTCCAAATGTATTATGGATCAGATTGAAGCTAATCCTAGACTGCCTGTTCGTGCCTTACAAGAGCAACTCCAATCAAATTATGGAGTTAGTATTTCAGAAGAGAAAGCATTTAGGGCAAAAGAATTAGCCACTAAATATGTTGTCAGAAGAGAAAGCATTTAGGGCAAAAGAATTAGCCACTAAAAATGTTGCAGGGGATTACGTAAAGCAATATGCAGCTTTGAGAGACTATGTACTAGAGCTACAAAATACAAATGAAGGTACAATTGTAAACATTGATGTGGTTTCTGAACCTGTGGTTTCATCCCCAACCAGGCAATTCAGAAGGATATATGTGTGTTTAGGTCCTTTGAAGAAAGGATTTAAGGCATGTTTGAGAGAATTTTTAGGCTTAGATGGAGCCTTCATGAAGGGACCTTTCCCAGGTCAAATACTAAGTGCAGTTGGTGTTGATTCCAATAATGGAACCTACCCATTGGCATATGTTGTTGTTGAAAGTGAAAACACTTCAAGTTGGAAATGGTTTCTTCAGTGTCTTGCAGAAGATCTTGACTTGTATTCAAATTCTAAGTTCACCTTTATTAGTGATAGACAGAAGGTACTATAGTTACATTTAATATTGTATACTAGGTTCATTACAGACTAATGCTACTTACTTATTTTGTTTTGGTGAAAACAGGGTCTTCTACTAGCCATAGAACAATTGTTCCCTAATGTAGAACACAGGTTCTGTATTAGACACATATAACAGAACATGAGGATCAGATTTAAGACTACAGAGTACAAGGAGTATTTTTGGAGGTGTGCTAAAGCCATCACCATACCAGAGTTTGAAGATGTAATGGTAGAGCTTAGGAGTTATGACATAGAAGCATATCAGTTGATCTTGAAAATCCCTCCACATCATTGGGCTAGAAGTCATTTTTCAGGTATTTTCTCAATTTGTTGTCTTATTTTTTTATTATAGTATAGATATACACTAACTGTTGTTTTGTTAATGAACTATTAGGAAGGGCAATTTCAGACATGTTATTGAATAACCTTTGTGAAGTGTTCAATAGCAAACTTGTTAAAGGGGGAGACAAACCCATTATCAGTTGTTTGGAGTTCATCAGACAGTACCTTATGAAGAGAGTATGCAATGTGATGAAGGTGTTAAACAAGTGTCAAGGTCCATTAACTCCAACTGGTACTAGGATTTTAGAAGCAAACACAACACTAGCTAGTAAGTATGATGCACGATGGAATGGGGGACAAAAGTATCAGGTTAAAGGTCCATGGAATGATCAACATGTGGTGGACATGGAAAAAAGGGAGTGTAGTTGTAGAAAGTGGGAGCTTACTAGAATTTCTTGCAAGCATGCAATTGCAAGCCTAAATGAAATGGTAGACAATAATGAAAAGGTGGTAGAACTCTACACCTATGTGCATAAGGTGTATTGGCTTGATACATGGAAAGAGATGTACTCCTTCAAGGTGGAGCCTATCAAAGGTAGAGCCATGTGGCCTAAGAGTGACTGCCCAACAACTCTTGTGCCTCCACCACACAACAAAGCTATAGGCAGGCCAAAAAAAAAGGATTACAGCAGAGGAAAGGATTGAAATCCAACAACGTAAGAGGCAAGCAAACAGTCAATGTCAAAATGATAATGAAACTCAATCACTGAGCAGGAAGTTTTTGAGTGTGACATGTAGTAAGTGTAAGCAAAAGGGTCACAATGCCAGGACCTGTAAGGCCAAAGATGGGAATTGATGTTTAAGTACTTTTTATGTTTGTGAAGACTTGTTAATGCAATTTAGTTGGTATTTTGTTGGCTTTTTTTGGTTCCATTTTGATAATATACTTTGATGCCCTTTTATGGAACAATGTACTCCAATGTTTTGATAATGTACTTTAATGCCCTTTGTTGGTAATGATTGTGTTTTGGCATTTATCTGTTATGATCCCCTTTTGGTAATGTTGTTTGTTATTTGTTTATGTTGTACTAGGAAATCATGAAGATATTATGGCAATGTACTTAATGTATGCATGTAAAACCATTACAATTGCATATTCAAGCATAGAGAAAAACCATTACACTTGCATATCATGTCAAGATCAAACCGTTATAATTTCATATTCATAAAAGGATAAAACCATTACACTTGCATATCATGTCAAGATCAAACCTTTATAATTTCATATTCATAAAAGGATAAAACCATTACACTTCCCATTGTCATAAAAGCATTACATATACAATGATACAAAAGACAACACTTACAACATATATAAACCCTATTTAAACCTTCTAGCACCAAAAGACAACATTTTGAAGTGGTTATTACCAGTTGTAATGTAAAATCATGAAGATGTTATGGCAATGTACTTAATGTATGCATGTAAAACCATTACAATTGCATATTCAAGCATAGAGAAAAACCATTACACTTGCATACCATGTCAAGATCAAACATTTATAATTTCATATTCATAAAAGGATAAAACCATTACACTTGCATATCATGTCAAGATCAAACCTTTATAATTTCATATTCATAAAAGGATAAAACCATTACACTTCCCATTGTCATAAAAGCATTACATATACAATGATACAAAAGACAACACTTACAACATATATAAACCCTAATTAAACCTTCTAGCACCAAAAGACAACATTTTGAAGTGGTTATTACCAGTTGTAATGTAAAATCATGAAGATGTTATGGCAATGTACTTAATGTATGCATGTAAAACCATTACAATTGCATATTAAAACATAGAGAAAAACCATTACACTTGCATATCATGTCAAGATCAAACCTTTATAATTTCATATTCATAAAAGGATAAAACCATTACACTTGCATATCATGTCAAGATCAAACCTTTATAATTTCATATTCATAAAAGGATAAAACCATTACGCTTCCCATTATCATAAAAGCATTACATATACAATGATCCAAAAGACAACACTTACAACATATATAAACCCTAATTAAACCTTCTAGCACCAAAAGACAACATTTCTAAGTGGTTATTACCAGTTTTAATGTAAAATCATGAAGATGTCATGGCAATGTACTTAATGTATGCACGTAAAACCATTACAATTGCATATTCAATCGTAGAGAAAAACCATTACACTTGCATATCATGTCAAGATCAAACCTTTATAATCTCATATTCATATAAGGATAAAACCATTACACTTCCCATTGTCATAAAAGCATTACATATACAATGATCCAAAAGACAACACTTACAACATATATAAACCCCAATTAAACCTTCTAGCACCAAAAGACAACATTTTTAAGTGGTTATTACCAAACAAAAAAAACCCTAACCTCTAATTCCTATTTCCAAAATAACACAAACAACAGAAACAAAACCCACGAGATAAGCAAACACTTCTTCAGCTGACCCACTTCAACCTCATACATATTCATTGTTCTCAACAGTCCTGGTATGATAACAATTGATCTTTGACACATAGGGGGATCGAACCACCCCAAAAATCCACATTTGGATCCCTACAAGAATACATTAAACATTAAAGTAGAAGAGTTATTGCATAACTACCAAAATATCATAACATAATATGAGTTTGCTTACCATTTTAGGGCATGCATCGAAACGACGACCAGGGTTTCGTAAGGTCCATGAGGTTCGCACAATAGCACATTCCCAGAGAAGCAGAGCACCATTTTTGAATCTCGTAGCAGTAGAAGTAGATGAGAGACGAAGAAGAAGAATCCCTTTGAGAGATGAAGAAGAAGAAGCCCTTTTTGCTGCTTCTCTGTAATAAAAATGAAGAAGAAGAAGAAGGGGATTGCGTATGAGTATGTATATAAAGGAGAAATATGATATTATTTAAAATAAGCACATAAAATGACCAAAATGCCCTCACATGGAGGGCACGTAATGGCACTAACGGCTCCAAACAAACGGACAGTGATGGAATGGACTAAAAACCCATGAAAACCTTGATTTTGGACCTTTGGTGCAAGCTGAAAACTTTTTGGACCCCATCCAAAGGTTTTGACAAACCACAAGGACCAAATTCACAGTTTTGTCTTTTGAAAAATTTATTGATTTCTTATTTAATGACTCAATAGTTTGCCAAAAAATTGTTGTTCTTGCTTTTCTTTTAGAAATGTTATTTTCTTTTGAAAAATTTTCAACTTGATCCTTAAACTCCTTTGAATTCAATTTTATTGCTTTGTTAACCTTTTTACACACTGATTTAACATTTTCGTTCTTTGATAACTCTTTTTCAGTTGTATTAGCTATCTTCTCTGCAACTCTCGACTTTTCAATCCATATTCTTTTTGGTTTTTGACGTTGAAATGTATATGAATCTTTGTTAGATTGTTTTCAACCGTACTTTGATTTGAAAAGAAACCTTCATCAGAAGTGTTCTTATTGTCCTCCTCTACCAACTTTTTGAATTCAGGCTTTATATTTTCAACATTGCTTCTTGTTACGAAGACATGGTTTGGGAACACAATATCATCAGTGCATTTGAAGATTGGATAAACCACAATATTTGATTCAAGATAATGAGCACCTTTTTAACTAAGAATTTTCTCAAACTCTTGTGAATCCATATAAACCTGATCAACAACCACTCGAGGAATCTCAACTTCTTTCAATCTTTTATTTGTCTTTGAATTTTTGTTTTCTTCCTCAATATCACTATCATGTGTTTGACTATCATTTATTTCCACAAAATCCATATCGCAAACTTTCGAAGTTAAGAGTTGATCAGTGTCAATTTTTACCAATAATTCTTCACATTTTTCTTTCCCTTTAAAAGAAATTGCAACATTTATTACAGACAATTGAGAACAATCCACATCCTCTAAATCACTAATTTCACTAATATTATCAGAATTAT